CATGTTTACACTGAGTAGGAGATGCTCTGTATCTCATTGTACAACTGTATAGTGACAATAAAGGCATTCTATTCTATTCTATTCTATTCTATTCTATTCTAAGGTATGTAGATTGTCGGGGTTGCCATATAGTGCCTTGAATGGCTTGTTTGAGAAAGGCAAGAGAAAATCAAAGAGAAGACAGAGAACCCGCACGCGCTCGTGTGTGCGTGTGGAGCCAAGGAGAGGAGAAGTAGCCGTCTCGCGCATGTTGTCACGGTCAGCCACATTAAGGAAGCCTCACGTTTCGGCTGAGCCCAAAAGGGGATCCGAGAGGTCAGTCAAAATTAAGTTGCTTGTGCAAAGTTTGGCTTTTTCTAGCCGCTAGCCACAACATGTGGTGCTGCAGGCCATCGCCGACAGCGTGGTGGTGGGAAGTCGGAGCGAAAGTTAACCTTAGCTGCACTTTTCTTTAAGACCCACCTCCGTTTCCAGTTGGATTAGGCCAAGTTCGGCCGTTAAGTGAATGCTCGGAGCTAACGAGTCTCTGCGAGGGCTTTAGCGACCTCACTTAATGTTGCCAGTTACTGGCCTGAGTTTGGGCTCATTCTAAGAAACAAACACAAGAACAATGTGAGTCAGCGGTGAATAGGGTATGTGTTTCGTTCGGCTGTGTGTGAAAGCATTGCCGTTGCGTAGCCTGGTGATTTTCCCATGCAGTGTCACCCAGAGACAAAGGTATGGTTTCTATTTTCTTTGCTTTTGTGGACCCCGAACTGTATTGCTCACTCCGGCTGCTGTATCTTTGGTCAGCTTAACAGACTAGGATCCCACTGTCGTCTCCTGTTCACTACAGTTACACCTTCAAAGAAGACACTGTATATGGTTTCATATCCAAAGGACATTTTTGTTGGGACTGACTAGTAGAAACTGGGACCATTTCCTTATGAACATTGTAAATTGTGTTATGTTGGTGATACAGTGTTAATCATTCTAGAGGGGACAGTGAATTGATGTAATCTGGAAACCCTTGGGTTTTAAAGGAGGGTTTCTGTAAGCGCTCTAAGGAGAATTAGTTCCTTTTATTTCTATTAAGTGGTTCATGTTGTGATTTTTGGACCCCTTCTATTGGAGCATAGACAATTCAGGCCAATATTTACTCAACTATATCGGGTCATATTTAAGCATTTTGTTATGATGTAAAATTTGTGTAAATTCTAGTTATAATCTGGATTATTTTATGTTGTAATGTAATATATTATGCTCTATAAATTTGTCCTGTTTTGTTGTGTTAAAGTGTTGGTAGGTGTCGTAAAGGCGGTGTGTAGTGGGCCACCATGTGGTGATGAAAGGTGAGGCTAGTACGCAGGGCATGGAGGAACAGTTTTCTGATCATTGCTGTGATAGTTATTTCAGATATAATATCATAGAAATTTAATGGAGCTCCTACTTGAGACATTTGTTTTGTACTTTTTGAGTTTGTGTAGAATAAATAAATGTTTTTCCTTTTTTTTACATTTTCCTCATTTTTTGCTACTGAAAGGCATACAAGTACCATAGTTTTCGGGTCATAAGCTGTTACTTTTTTCCCCACACTGTGAACACTGCAGCTTATACTGACGTGTGGCTAATGCATATTTTTTTTTCATGCAGCCAAAAACATTTTGCCTGGTAACAGTAGACCAATCAAAATGATAAGTAGTATACATACGCTATATATTTTTATCGGTTGTTAAGAGAAGCTGTAATGTTGTTTGTGCACTGTTCCGTAAAAAAACCATAAGCAATGTAATTTGTGTGTTACCAATGCGTACGTATACTTAAAGGTAGCTTGTTACAGGCGCTGTTCAAGGAAAAAAAGCATTTGCAGTATGTATTTTTGTATGTTACCATAACGCTTATGTTACAATGTTTATGTTACCTTAGGGATTAAATTACACATTAAAAATCCTCACGTGTAATATTTCTGTGTAAATATCTCATATTAAAAGTGAAATGCATACGGCTTAAAATCCGGTGTGGCCTGTACAAGTACAAAATTGATTTTCTTTCTACAATTAGAGCATGCGGCTTTTAATCAGGTGCACTCTATAGTGCGGGATATACGGTAATCTAACAAAAGCACAAGTCAGAAACTTTACGTCCTGCAGAAGTGGCAAAGAAGGACCAAAGATTGCCGCTACACCATCTATAGCTAGTCTAAACCAAGGGGTTTAACACAGTGTGGTCACCATAGGATTGCACTGACCTGATGTTGTGAGCATTCAACATCAGTATACCTGTATTTAGGTTTCCAACAACACATAAGAAGCAATAAGACCAAACTGCCATGCTATGAGTACATCCTTCTTTTTGCTAAGCACAGGACGGTAAAAGGGTCCAAGCTGTATTAATACTGATGTAATTCACTTTCCTCCACTCTGTCTCTTACACAGGTCCATAATGAATATTATCCTTTCAGTGCATACATTTTTTGCTCAATTGCATTATGATGCTTTATGTTATTTGTAAATTACTCCTTTCCATTATTTTGTGTGATGTCTCCTTGCTCCGACCACAACAACAGATTCACAAGAAGACAGAAGACTTCTCTTAATAGATACAAATAGAAACATGAAATCAGCAGAGAAAATTTAACACAGTATATTGATAATCATGAGTGAATGTATATTTCAAACTAAATGACTGAACTCACAGGTTTTCTCAATGGTGACATCATCACTTCTATCAGTGTAGTAAACTGGGTTTCCTCTTGTTCCTCTGCAGCTGTAGATTCCTCCTTGCAGATACTCTGATATCTCTGTTTTGTTGATCTCTGATTTGAACTTCAGAGGTTGTTTGGGTTCGTCTGAACCACTCATATTTCCATCCATCAGAGCTCTGCACAGAGCAGGTCAGTGTCACACTGCCCCCTACTGGTATGATTGTTGTTGCTGCTGTCAGTGTGGCCCTGGGTCTATATGCTGTTGCTGAGGAAGAAAAATAAATAAATATCTGTGATTCGTTATAACAACACATGAACACTGAAAAACAATACAGTTTATATTTTTATTAGTTGATCTCTAAATGACCACAGCATAAATGTTTGTCTATTCTCTGTTGAAGGAAACACAATGATGCATTAAATGTCTCTTCCTCATGTTTTGGTTTAGATAACAGAAACATCTTCACTTCAAACTTCATGAAGCTTTTGGTGTTTCTTATGTTTCTTCTTTTCCTTTAGAAATGTAATTAAATTGAATTTCATCCATAATTGCTGTTGTTAAAACTCACACACCTGCTAATGATAGATTACAGAGTCTGTGAGTATTGTTAGCACTGACTTTACTGTGAACGAAGTAACAGGTACAGTGATCTTGGTTAAAGTTCAAGTTTCAGTGACAAATTTAATTAAATGTTCTCTATTTTATAATTCAGTTGAGTATTTGAACAGGGATCATATATTTATGCTGTCGGTCACTGAGGACTTACCTAATACAGTTATAGAGACAGTATTACTGTTCTTTATATGATGTGAGCTCACCAAGCTACCAGAGCACTGATATTCACCACTGTCACGTGTAGATATAATTTAAATCTGTAGTCTTTGTTCTGTGTTGTAGGGCACAAATTCTCGACCGTCCTTCTTGATTTCGTAATACCAGTCAGTGTCTTCTCCTTCATTCATGTCACATTTGAAGGTAACAAACTCTCCAATGAAAAAACTGGACGAGCTGGGTTCAATAGTTAGCACAGCATCTAGAATCCAACACAACCACAAAGTTAACAAACTGAAACACTTTTATGCACAAAACAATCTGTGACAGTACGTTCATACACTGTTCATATATTGTTCATATATATATTTTACTATTCAAAACACAAACTGTGTTTATATTCATAAAATTATAAATTAGTGATGAACAATGAAATGAAAACAGACAATGTGAAGTGCTTAAGACTGATAAGCAGTTAAGATGA